AATATGTCAGTCAATCACCATGCTTTTTTATTAGAGGACATGGGCGTGTTTTTAGTGCATTTTGTTTGCTACAACTTAAAGCACTCCACACCAAATGTATGCAAAAGGACACACATGCTTGTTTTTCAATCAGAAGGGCTTTAGGTTTCCAGTGATATGGTAGCATTGTAGAGGGGAGCTGTGGATAGTACACAACTCAAGCTTTTTGCAATTTGTTGTGCATTTATTCTTAAAAGGTAACATTTCTATCTTTTAGGAAAAGATAGAAAAGATTTCTTACTTTTCTTTTACAAAAAGTAAGAAATTAGCATTGGCAAAGATTAAGATTAGCACTTTGCCAGGACTGATACATTTTAAGAAACAGTTAAATTCCCCACAAGGGTCCATTAGACACTAAATTAATTACACTATGTTAAAACTGTGGTACACTGAGTATTTAATATGTTTATTTTGTACTTTCACGTTGTAAGAAGATACTCAACTAGGTGAAGGCCTTATGAACTTAAAGACACACAATTTAAACTTATATTTTGTTCTATTTTCTTATCAACAATAATAATGTTTGACAGTGATTTACTGTACCCTCATCGAACGTATTTAGCAAACTGTGATTTAATCTACCATAAGTCCTCTGGTGAGTGTTCAAACTAAACTGAGGGTGCATATCAGCACAAGTCCGTACCTGTACAGAAGACAAAAAGGGTATCTTCTCTGTCTCTCTCAGTGTGTGCAGTGTTTTAGACGGGGGGAAAAGAAGTGTGCATGTGTGTTGGTGTGTGTACTGAGAAGCAGCTGAGTTGAAAGCCTTGGAGCTGACAGCCTGTAAGCCTGGACCTCCATCTCGGCTCCACCACCCAACTCCCCTGTTCGGCTGGGTGGCTGGGCTCATTACAAACCCACGCAACGGCCTGCGTACACACTGCGCTTCTGTGGCTATCTCTGTGAGGTCATTTAAAGACATCACGCAATCCCCTGCTCCTTTCCCCTCAACTTCAGCAGATGACTTCAACCTTCATCCTGACATTTCTTCCACCCGTCGCACTAAAGCCAGGGCTTCATTTGCAAACAGCCACCTTATGTTTTTCACAGGAAGAGGAAGAGACAGAACGTCCTCACTTTTTTAAAAATGGGCACACTGGAATGATCAAAAACTAAAATCTGGTTCCCACAAAAGCAGTCAGACACAGATATAAATACATATCTCTCACCACTCCACCCCACAGCTTTTCTACCCTTTCTTCCTCCCATGTTTCCTGCCATTCTCTCATTTTACTCTGTTTCTGCCAACTTCTTTTTTCTCCTTTTTTGTCACTTTGTCACACACTTTTCTTCTACCTGAGACACTGTACATTTTTCAACTTTCTCTCTGTCACCCGTTCCTCTGTTTCTTACGCTCATTTCATTTTTTTTGTACCATATTGCCTCTCTCCCTTTCTTCCTCGCTTTGCTCTCTCTTTTCACTCGCTTCCATTCTCCCAATTCTAGTTTTCTCACACCTTCTCCCTCTCTCACTCTCTCTCTCCTTCACCTACGCCGTCATCTTTCCCTGACTAAAAGTCAAAGCACCAGAGGGAGGGACAGCGGGAAGGAGAAGTGACAACAAGCAAGGCACAGAAACAGCAGCAGGAGAGAAGGTGAGGTGACAGAAAGAGACAGAGAAGATCTGCTGTTTGAAACACACAGTGAGAAATGTCAAGGGGAAAGCCAGGCGGAGGAGGAGGTGGGGGGGGGATGAAGCGCCCTGAGTCTCTTGTGTCGATAGGTCATGGTAACCTACAGACATTATCAGCTTTTTCCAGTCCAAGAACGTCCACAGATATCTGGATTTGGTAAATACATTTACACATAAATTGAATGTATTTTTTTTTTTTTTTGCGTATTGGTCTAAAACAGAGAGACAGTGAAAATCAGCGGGAAAAACTGACAAGCTCCTCCTGATGCTTCAAGCATTGTCTGTGGGAAACAACATGCAAATGAACCCAACAGTATCAAAACTGTTGTTACTGGGGGGAGGGGGGGAAATCGACGGTTTGTTGATTTTTAAGTGGTTTAAGTATTAAAAAGCAATGCTTTTTTTGATTCTATACAAAAAAAAAATAATACATAAGCATTAACATTTACCATGTGGAGTGCAAAAACCTGCACGAAAAAAGAAATCAATCTAGACTGAGTCAGACTGAACGATCACCTTGACCACACTTCAGGTGGGGCTGCCTGTCCTCCATCAGCCTAAAGAGGGTGCTGTGGACTCAGCTTTTAATGAGCAATCACACACATTTTCAATCTTCTCTTCTGGCACTGCAGGATGTTTGGTTGATGGAGCTTCTGTTTTAGCTGGTCATGTGACTAACACGTTCTCAAAGTCTGAGCTGCGGTAGCACTGGGGGCTGAGAATAGCACACAGTTTGAGGTAATAACAGTTCGACACGGGAGGAGACATGGTGTGAATGGCATCCCAGTTGTCTGTGGAATTTGTTTTACTGAGTTTTCCAGTGTATGAAGTTGCAGAAATGTCCAGAGGGATGCTGGGTAACAGCACAGCTGATGGAACTCCAAGTGTCGACACTGATATCTACCAGATTTTACATTGTTTTCTGACATCTTAATACAGTCTGAAGTCTGGCACTTTGGAGCCGAGGCTGGAAATTATATGTGAATCTCAATAATCATCTGCTTTTTCAGGTGTGTGTATGATGAACCGAAAAAGTACTTATGTACATAATATGTAAGTAAATATCGGTTTCACAACTAAATTTAAAATGTGGGTATTTCAGACGGAGAGGTAGAGAATAGTAGTTCTTTTTTTTTTTTGTCTCTGATACTTCTCCAAATCTAGAAAAATACTTCATATCTTCCTCGACTCTGCAGGAACAATGATTAAAGTGTATATTACAGAATATTTCTTGTGTCTTGTAGTTATCACAAATACATTATATTCTTAGAAAGATTGTCATGAGGCAGTCACATTTTTAACACTGGAATTTGCTTAAAGTAATGTGTGCAAACGTACGTATTTCACCACACAACTTCCGTATTCTGAGGGAAGCATTTTCAAGTTTAAACTGTAGAAACCATTATGTTCAAATATGTGGCAACAACATCTACTTTTGCAATGCAATACTCTTCTGGGAACCTTGGGTTTTAACATCCATAAGACTTTTTTGTTCTAACTAAACAGTGCAGCAGAACCAGCACACCTTGTCATGGTTAAAGAAGTTTCTGACAGGACTGAGAAAAAAAAAAAAAAAACATCCTGAGTATGAGCTGGAGAAACATGACAGAGCTTAAGGTGTTGACTTGGGCCAACCTCTGACTTCCCAGATCCCAACAGGACATCTCTGAGACAGACAAGAACAAGCCCAGACCATCAAGACCACATTCTGCAACCGTTGGCACCACAAGCCTATAAAACCATACATGTCATCGCCATGTCCCATTTAAGATCATGCTGTCCCACAAATATCAAATGAATTTTAATGATGGATGGAGTTTCTTTCTGCACAAGCAAAACATTTGCTTCCTTCCAGATGTTAAAATCTGGTTAATACAGGCAGAGATAAACAATTTACGGCATGTTACTCCACGTTCTTATTTGGTAAAGAAAGCCAAGTCATAAGGCTTGAACACTGTGTAAAAAGTCAAGTACACACCATAAATCTACAGGTTGTGGAACTAATTTTAGCAGCTTCAAATTTAAGAGTCTTTTGTTTGATCAGTTCAGTTTGCCACCTTGCCTAGGCATCAGTGGCTTGTACTGCCGTTAGTAATTAGAAAAACATTGATAGTCCACTGGAAATGGACTCCCATGACCCTGCAAGGATACATGTGTGAAGACAATAGATGGATGGTTGATGGATACTGTAAATCCCACTTGTAACTAGAATGAGTTCAATTGAGTTGTACTGTTGTTCCCAGATTTTGGCTTTTAAATCCAAGACAAAGCGAATATAACTGGGTTTGACCCTGGACTTTAGTAGATCAATACAACACTCAATGCAGAAGAGTCCGAGCTCCAACAGTAAGTCAGAGACCTCAGGACAACGACTGCAACTTCTGCATTCTTTGTCTTAGGTCTTCCTTATTTACCTGGGCAAAGGACTGTCGTCTCCTGATGAAGCACGCTGACTAACGAAGGTGATTTTGGTTGAGTTTGGATGACCTTAAGTCCAAATCCAGAGCAGAAATCTACCAGAAACTTCTATAGCGATTCCTGCTTCCTTCTGCTGACAAACTTTATGAAGATGCTGATTTTATTTTGCAGCCGCAGCTAGAACTAATTCAGTGACTGCCGTTGACTCACCAAAAACATTTTTATTGGTCTGATGCAAAATTGACATTTTTGGAGAAATAAAATTTGGGGTTTTATTCGCTGCAATCCACAGTCATCACTATTAACAAAAACAAACATAGGAAATATATTGCCGTCCTGTAAACAGTTTTATTTCTTCATAAATTGTTGATATGTTTAATTAACTGTTTTAAAACCAAGCACACAAAGAAAAAACAAAACTAAACCAAAATTAAATAGCCTACAAAATCTGTTAACTGTAACCAGTTCTCAGTCCCAGATTAAAAGCGAAATGTGAGAAAATGGTAAAATATTTTGCCGACTTTTAACTGTGTCCGCACCCTAATTTATTTGGGGATTTTGTGCAGCAACTTTCACTTCCTTGAAGGGAAAATAGGGTGTTGCATGATGTTATTTCCTACCTGTGACTAACCGGTCCATCAACATGAACAATAGCCATGATTGTAGAGCAGGCTAGCTTGTTTTATTGCACCCGGTTTAAGTAAGACCTGTGTGACTCCAGCCTCAGTCCTTAACGGCGTCAGGGTTAAAGGTCAAGCCAACAGGAAGCAGCTAAGTGGCCTATGGTGGAGCAGGACTAAGCGCTGAGAAGACTCGACGACTACATGACACCAGACGCACCCCGCCTAATGAAACGCTGGTGGATTGGGAGCTCGGCATGTATATTTATGTGTAGATTGTTGTGACTTACCAAGAGAGTGAGCAGCAGTTGTTTTGGAGCTGAAGAATCTTCCCAGTCCCAAGTCTCCCAGTTTAACCACACCAGTAGCTGTGATGAACACATTGGCTGGCTTGATATCTGAGAAAAGAAAATCACAAAGAAAATAAATTCAGAAAAATAGCCCAATTTAATTTGGCAACCGTTTTTTTTTTTTTTTTTTTTGGTCAGCACACAAAACAGGCACCTGAAAAAGAGACATTAAAATATCATTTCAGTTAATGTGGGCGTTAGCAAGCTGTTTTCTGAAGTAATGGTAATGTGACCTGCCGAAGCCTTTGAAATTTACAGCTCCTGTATAATTGTAAGCAGCTTTTGAATAGGCCGTCTCTGCTAAGTGGCTGCTAGAGCTCAGAGCTCAGGGTTCATTTGTGTCCCTGTGTCCTAATCAAAGTCAGCATTAATGGAAATACATCACCTGTAACTGAGAGGGTCTCTGAACGAGCAGCAATCTGTGCACATGAATCCAGAATGAGACCTCATAAACAGAGCACTTTCTTTAGATGATGTGCTTGTTAACAGCTAGACTTTAAGCCTGTCAAGGTGCTGGAGCAGATAACAGAGATTTATTATTATTATTGTTTGACTTTCAGATTCACTTTTCGCCAAGTTAAAAGATCGGGTAAACAACTGTTTCACTTTCTGGCAACAGTTTGCTTAAGTGGTTTTCTTATCATCATGGTACTCGGGGGGAGATTAGAATAAAAAATAAAATCGACCTGTGACCAGAATAATTTGCAACTTGAGTGGTCCTGAGCAATGACCGGCTGGTTGAAAACTCAAAGAAACAATCCTTTTCCTAGTAGCGACGGCAAAATACATGAATGCTTCTAAGAAGCACTGACAGCAACACTTCTTAATGTGGATGAAGTCATCGCGGATTTTCAGCCATTTTCACTGCCTGTGGTGTGTCTGAAAACGAATTGTGAGGAATAACAGTGATGCGAGATGTTTAAGAAGAAAACGTCCTGAGATCAGTCAGAAAGAAAGAAAATAAGTCAGAAATAAGTCAGACAAAAGAAAAAAAAAAAAACTAAGAAAAAAGAATGGAACTAACAAAGAATCTAAGAAACAAATAAAGAAAGAAAGGAAAAAAACAAATGAACTTTGGAAGGATGGAAAAATAATAGGTTCCTCTCCTTTATCTTTTGGATATTTCAGCCTCTGTCTGTTGAGGAACAAAGTGTAGAAAACATTCTGTTTCCACTGACAATGCCTCCGAACTCCACTTGACCCAGTCGGCATGTGAAACTGGAGATTACGATGCCTAATAAAACCATAATACCTCTGAATGAGATCAAGCTTGCTGATATTTATTGCCGTCCAGTTACCACATTTCCACTTCAGACCCTGAGGAGCTCTGACTGTCAGATAACGATTTACATTAGAGGTGTGCCAATCGATCGGCAACTGATCATAATTGGCCGATTACCACAAAAAAAAATGTATGATTGGTGATCGCCGATCACTGTTACTTGTTGCCAAACCGATCACCTGTATCTCACTTTGCAGCCTGCATGTGCAGCTGATCTCCTCTTCCCTTCACACTGCGCAAGCATGCAGCAACAAATCCTAATCAATGCCATGTAGAACTTCAACACTCAGAGTGAATGGGGAAGTTTGTATGTTGCGATGAAAAATTACCTCGGGGGTAAAGAACGTCAAAATGCATCAGCACAATGCAACATGGCATTTAAAAAACAAGCACTTTTCGGAGTTTGGCTACATCGAGGCTCAATGCAGGAACAAAAGGACATCCGGAGCGTCCAGATAGCAGGTAAAGCAGGTAAAGCTGAGCTCAACTACCAACACTCACCCAGATTAGCATGATGGCCAGAAAGCTAAACAAATAACCAGCTGGTGGTAGAAGACACTGGTTCTGCTCTCGTTGTTGAGCCGCCACTACTGGTAGAAATATGTCACAGATGTAGCGCCGTTCAACCTCCACCCAGCAGTGAACTCTCACACCAAATGTCTGCTTAAAGCTGCAGCATGCAACTTAAACAAACACAAGATTTTACATATGTATGAAAACTTTTGCTATGTCCTGATATAAGACAGATAATCTCTGAAAAATAATCAATCTCCTCTGCCTCCTCTCTGTGTTCGGCAGAATTACTCTGCTCATTCAGAATCAACCAATCAGAGCCAGCATTAATCAGCCAGCCTTGCGCTCAGGAAGTTTTCTCTCGGTAACTCAATTCAGTTTCCTTTTTTTTTTTTTGACATTATTCTATATAGATTCATTTGACGTATGTATAATTTATGGTACAAAACATATACTGAGTATGAAATAAGAAAATATGTAAGAATATTAAACGGTGATGGTGCCAAATGAGTAGCATTTATAGAAGACAAACACAAACTGTTTTATTACCATGGTGGAAGTACAGAACAACACCCTGACCCATCAGAAAATTCACTATTAAGAAGAACTGAAGCATGTATGTGTAGAGGAACGCTACCTCTGTGCATGACTCTTCGGGAGTGCATGTGTTCAAGCGCACTGCAGAGCTGGACGAAGTACTTCCACACCGTTCTCTCTGGGATGAGCCTCCTCTGCTTCTTAAAGTGCTGCAGCAGGAAAACAAAAACAAAGAGCCAAGGTTACATTAAAATGTAGCAGGGGCAACAGACAAACAAAAGATTTTACTACAAATCGGAAAAAAGTACAAAGGATAGAGTTACTAGGTTGGCATGTAAGATTTTATGTGTTTGTAGAGTATCCTTCCCCACACACTGACTCCACTCTTAATGCAAGCCAGAGCAGGCTATCGTCTGTCCCTTGCATATCCAAGTTCTGTCTCATTTTCTCTGCAGCGTACAATGGAAAGCACATGCATTCTCCGGAGCAAAGAAAAAGAAATTTGTGGTGCCTTCTTAAACTCCACCATCTGGCACACAGGACTCTTGTTGCGCTCAGCCAACAGTGGCAGAACGGTTCCTCCTGTTTTCAGAGTTTATGCACGTACTACTATTTGGAAGGCTAGGAGTTGTTCTTGATTATCAACACTGTGGTTCAGCTGAAAAACAAAAGAAAAGTGATGACACGAAGGCAAACTGATCAACTATGACTAAATGAATTAACTGGTTCTTGGAACTCCTACTTGGGCAGCTGTGCGGCAATGCAGGCCATAAAAATGTATCAAGTTCTATGATCACAATTTAATGGGGTGTCCTTCAGGCTCCAGGAAAGAAAAGCCTGGAAGTAGACCAGGTTAGATGAGAGCTGTGCACATGAGGAATGCACTTGGAGTATTTAGCCAACTTTTACCAAAACAGAAAAAAAAAATGTCTTAAAACTCTAGACAGGATACATTTCACCAGGAAGTCCAACTTGCATGAAGAATTTTGTTGCACAATGCAGACCTAAAGCAAAAAATTTTAAATCTCCAAGCACATTGAAATGCAACGAAGGCAGGATTTTCCATGTGCTATAAAAATACTTTATTAAATTTCCTTTTATCATTAACAACTGTCCTTTTTATACAAAAAAAATATTCTCAAAGCACATAAAGGTGCATAATTTGGGATCTCTGAGCAAATTATTCCATGTTCAAGGTGCACAGAATGAAAAAGCAGCCTTCCCTGAGATCAATCAATACCCTTGGTACGTTAAAAAGAGGCAACTACTTTAAAAAGCGTGGCTGCTAAAAATCCGACCTGAGACGGAGGGGGAAACAGAGGCAAGCTGGGAGTTTACCCAGGACTGCTTTACAGGCAAAAATATACCACAGCTTTTGTCTGCAAGTGGTCAATGATGTCCACCTCACCAAATCATAAATAATGCAACGTTTGCATTTATAATGAGAAGAGTTGCATGGCACACTAAATCAAGGCTCCAAATAAGGGAGCTGCATGCAAGAAGAATAGATCACAGCATAATCAATCACAGGCAGAAAAGTTGCTTCTGTGTGTTTTTTGTTTTGTTTTTTGTTTTTATGTCTTGGTAATACAGGAAGATTTATTCCTAAAGTAATTTATGAGCCATTCAGTTTGTTTCTCTGATACACATTATGCTTACACTGCAAATCAGTAGAGCTGTATACACCTGTTCAAATGTAGGGATCGATTTCAGAATTAGCTGAAAAAGACCAGCATGTCCTGGTAACAGCCAAATTACTGCATATTTGAGTTTTTTTTTATTTATTATATTTTATACATATCCAATTGGGTATAATGAATGTCAACCAATTATTATTAAAAATGAGACATTTGGTGCAAAAAGGATTTGTGGATCTAATTCAAAGATGCATAAAACTAAAAATGTACACGTAAAAGTTCACATGTTTTGAAGCCACCACAAGCTTCTGGCTTCTGACAAGTAAGTGCCTTGATTCCTCTCCACATAATAATCGGTAGAGTTCATTTAAAGTGGCTGCTTTTCTGGAACAGACCCAGTTTAAAAGCATAACCCATGTAGTTTCAATAGGGCTGAGGGTCAGAGCCGTCCCACGAGCTGAAAACTGTTTTTCAATGTGTGTTTGCGGTCAATATCTTTGTGGGACACACACATGGTTTTAAATTTCAACCAAATTATTGCTGATCCGGTAGGTTTTTCATTACTGCACTTTGTGCAATGACCAGTAACACGAGTGAAACAGACCCTCAGCATGATGTTACCACCCCCATGCCTGACAGCTGGTATAGTGTCCTTAGGTTTTTAGCCTCACCTGGACTATAAATAAACTGGAATGACGCAACAGACCAGCCACCTTCATAGTCAGGCCCAAAATTATTCATACACCTGACAGGTTTAGGTTTAAAATAATCTTTTAATTTCTTGTGAAAAGAAAGTCATGCATCTCAACTATATTTTTTTGGAATTTCTGTAAATTTAGACCAAGGCTCAGTTTTAGTATTTAATCTCGTAACATTCATTTCCAGATTTCAAATCATCCCTGGAATTGAAACGTTATCCTTCATTTAATAGCTGTAAACAAACCATTTTATTTGTATGTAAACCGTGACAGTTTATTTTTGCTGGATTCACATGAATTACAGTCATAAAAATTCATAAAATTAGCTCTCAAAAATGGTAAATTTTTATCACCCCATTCCATTTAAAATTTTAAAATTCTATTTATTTGTGTTTTTATCCCCGTCTAAGCCAGTTGTCTCGTTTTAGATGCAACTCATATAAATTAAGATCCCTGATCAAGCCCCCCCCAAAAAAAACTACTTCTGCTTGAAACGTTGAGGCTATTTCAGGTATAAAACATCCAAATCTGCAGAGGTAAGAAAAGAAAACAAAAATGTCTAAGGGATAAAATAAATACAGCAACCTTTATTGCTCTCTAAAGTAGATGTTTTAGTCATGATCTTGTACTGCTGATGGGGGACTTGGACCCAGAAGCAACAGAGTGGCTAAATTTGGACTGTGAGGTAAAAATATGTAACATATTCCCCAAATCTCTTGTTCACCATTTGAGCCCAAACAATCCTTGCATTTGGCATCTCCTGTGACTTGTTTCCTTAAATAACCCTGCAAGAGGATGTTTAAGGGATGAGATGCAACTCACTGCATCCGTTAAGATATTACAATATTCCTGCACCCAACACAAGCTGGAATATATATTTGTCACTGCAGCACTCTTCCAGTGAGAGACTCTTAAGTACCCGATTATTTAGGTGATGATTTGCTGGACGCTGTTTATAACGAGAACAGAGGGCCAACAAAGATTTCAAAAACTGAAGTAGCAGAAATATAAAAAGGTGAGAGATAACTAAAAATGGACAAAGGTGTGATAAAGAGAAGAATAGAGACAGACGGATGGATAAAGAAAGGGAGGAATAGACCTTGGCCTACATCCAAACAAAGCCTCAGTAAGGAGCCATTCTTTCTTTGCCCCCCATTTCCATATCAGAGGACCGTTTGATGTCAATGAGGGAGCACATAGACACCCACCAACACCCTCTTTTCTATGCCTTTAACAGCAAACACTGCACATGCAATATTCTGTAAGTGCATGCAAATCAGGGACCATCTGATATCATTCGAATCCTGAGATGGTCCGAGAGAAACAGAAAAGTAATCTGGAGGAAAATACATCAAAAAGAATCATCATAATTAAAAACATTTTTGCAATGTTTTTTTTTTTTTGTTTTTTTTTTTTAAATATGGGATGTTGTAGGAACGTGTTTACTGCACAGCCCAAGGACGGGAAACTGAAATCTGACAAAAACATCTGGCCTGCCACTGTTGGACTGGAATAAACAATCAATTAAAATGGTGCAGAAGACAAATGGTGCAGAGAAGTAGTATATATATATATATATATATTAAGAGTTTGTGTTGTCAGCAGACATAAGGCTGATGACACAACCCCAATGCTCTGAGCATCCGAGAACGCTTAGCTAAGATAGCAGTGACACTTAGTGGTTTGTTATCCTACCACCATGTTACCTGCCATGTAACATCTTTGTAAAATGCAACTCAGAACATTTGCTTGAATGTGTGCCTCCATGTTTGTGTCTGCATCTTCTCTGCTTACAAAGTAGACTATATGTATGTGTAAGGTGTGTGTGTGTGTGTGTGTGTGTGCCAAGCCTGCCATGTTCACTCTCTTGTACCACTAATCCTCGCCTCTCCTAATTTGCTACGTTGAACTGTGCAGATGTGGATCTGCTGAGTATGACTGCAAACAGCTTGTCGAGCTGTGCTGATACAACGCTGCAGCATCATTTATGCATAGCAGAAGACCAGGCTTTTTTACATACACACTCCTAATTTGCTTTACTGGCAGATTTTTATGATAACTGGGGTGTCGGTCTAACTCATACTCAAAAAAGAAAAAAAAAAAGAAGAAGAAAAAGAAAAGTATGAGCCGTGGATTAAAAAAAAAAAAACACACTATTTAATGCTGGATAACTCCGAGTTTTTCTTCTGCTTAGAAAATTAAGACAGTTCCTTGAATAAAAACAAGCACACTGAGATTTGGGGTCAAATTTTATTTTACTTAAACCTGATTGTACAGATAAGAATTAGAAGAAGCTCCAGCCTAAATAAAAAAAAGAGTTTTTTAAAGGTTTGATACTAAAACAAACATTGCTACTACTTCAACATACAGCCCTAACAGCAATTATTTCAGTTTAAATTCATCCAAGTACCCCCTACACTCTGAGGCTTGAATTTTATTACCACTAACAGCTCAAGATTTCTAACAATGTCTCTTTCACGGTCTTGGCAGATGTAAACACGTTCTAGAGAGATGAAAGAAGCTTGCAGGAGGCCTTATATATTAGTTTGTTCCAGTATGAAGGGATGATTAAGACTCAGTGTCCAGGATGTCAAACCCCTATAAAATAACCACAAACCACAAGCCTTCTGCAGTCAGGCCTTCATTTATCAAACGATTCACTGGCACTTTCTGCTTGTGTGTGCACAAGAGCGTCATAAAGAGACGAACAGGGTATAATTTAAATCGGGCCTCAACCCTCAGAATTTAGATTTAAAGAAAAAAATTCTATATACATACATAACAGTGTAAGAAAGCGGTCAATAGCAGCATTGCAAGTTGTACTCATTGTGGTAATTGTTTTGATTTCTCTCTATGTCTTAATGTAGCGCCAAGATTAATAACAGTGATAAATATACAGTGTCTTGCTAAAGTATTTATACTCCTTAAACCTTTTTACATTTTCCCATAATTACAACCACAGCTTTAATTATTTTGTTGGGCTATTATGTGATAGACCAACGCAAAGTAGAGCAAAATAGTGAAAATTGAGAAACTACTGCACAGTTTTAGTTTTATAAAAAATAAAGATCTGTGAAGTGCATTTGCATTCAGCACCCTTAATTCAATACTTTGTAGAAGTACCTTTCATTAAAATTACATCTCCAGGTCTTTATACATGTATTTCTACCAGCTTCACTTATTCAAAGGCTGAATTTATTCAATGCAATGTTGCTCAAGTTCAGTAAGATCGGATGGAGAGAACCTGTGAACATCAATATTCCAAGTTTTAACACAAACTCAGTTTGTGCTAAACGTAGTTGGGTTGGGATGTCCACTTGTTATTTACACAAGCAAAAATTATTTAGTAGAGTTAGTTCACTTCATTAAGGAAAGCCAACATGGTTCCATAGCAAAACATGATTAAAATCTAGTTTTACAAATCGACATGAATAATAAAATGTCAGTGATTCAACAACTGTCTTTTACAAGTAAAACATAAAACACATTTTGTTTGGTACGCATGTGCACTGTCCATGCGTTGTTAAATTTCTAATAATCAGCCTTTCCCTGGTTCAACAATGGTTTTACTCTCAACTCTCCACCATGAGGCCAAATTTAGCACAACGATTATCTGTCCTGTCAATAAACTCACACAGCTCAACTGTGAATCTCTGCAGCTCCTCCAGAGTAACCAGGGATCTCTTGAATGCTTCCCTGATAAATAATCTCCCTGCCCAGCATGCCGATCAAAGACAACCATGTCTTTGTAGGTTTCCAGTTCTGCCATATTGTTTAGATTTTCAGATGAAGGAGTGAATAGTTAGACTTCCAAAGCTTGGAATATGTGCTAAACATCCACACAACTTCACCTCTGAATGTCTGCTGGGTATCTTGTTCTTCCAGATGCCATTTCCTCACTAATGTTCTCCAACAAACCTCTAAGGCAGATCTATTTAAAATACACACAGTTTGATTCATCTTACTACTTCGACCATTTCTGAAGGTGATCAGTAAACACTTGATTTTATTTAGGGGTGTCAGGGAAGGGGTACTGAATAAAAAGGAAAGCCACAATTTCCAAAGTTTTATCTGTAAATTTAACACATTGACCTTTGTTGGTGTAAAAAAGAGAAACTGTACGGTTAAGAAAACCTTTCTAAAAGTACAGTATAAAATACTGGATGGAAGTTCACAGTGTTTCAAACTGTTATTGGAGCTGCTTACCTTGATCATACGAGAGAGATCCCCGGCATCAGCTAGCTCCAGAACTATGTTCAGCTCATTGTCCTCAATAAAAGATGCGTGATACTTTATCACATTGGGATGATTCAATTGCTGTTGGAGGGGAAAGGGGAAAAAAAGTCAGTATGTCAGAGCAGACAGAAGAAATGATGGTGACATTTGTCATGTGGGCATCTTTGGTCACTTTCACCAGCTTCCTTCAGCTGGTACAAAATCTTCAAGGTTATGCACAGCAAAGGTGTGTGTTTTGTGCAACTCGCTGTACTCTCACCACCAATTAAAATAAAAATGGCTGAAACCATGCAAACAAAATACATTTGGTACATGGGGACCTAATGAGAAGGTTTTGTCCTCAAGTGTGACAAAGCTGGATGACATGTCACAACAAACCCCTGTCTACGATGACAACAACCAATGTGTGTGAGACATATAGAAACACAAAAACACACACAAGCGTGACAGGCTGACATGGCTGGCAGTCTTTAAAAAAAAAAAGAAAAAGAAAAAGCTAGCGTCCCTGGCTCATCTCTAGCGGAGATTCTTTCCTGCTGGTTGGTCAATAAGGCAGGAACAGCATTCCCTGTAGTAAACAAAAACTTTCTTTCTATCCGGAGCAAGAGACACGTGATGGGAAAAGAGGAACGTTGACGGAAAAGACACGAATGACACAGTGACAAGGAGGAGGAGAAGGAATGCAGACAGGGCAAGGTTGAAGAGCTAGGGAGGAAGAACAAAGGCGTGGATGGAAAACAGAATGGGAGAGGGATAAGGTAACCTGAGTTGGAGATAGGGGGAAGGGAAAAGCAGAGAGATGCTGATATGTGGATAGTTGGAGCCGTGATGTGAGCAGACGGAGGGGTGTGACACGCGTCCTCCGCTCGGCTCTGCTAAGCCTCCTCTGCTGTGATTAAAGAAATGTTCATGCTCTGGATGATGCCGAGAAGAGGGGAAAAGGAGAGCACAGTGGAGTACACTACGCTACACTACACTCTCAGACTCCATCTCTGCATCATTCTGCAACCCTCTTCCTCATTCGCTCTCTGTCTCTTCCTCACGTCTCCATCTTCCCTTTCTCCCTCCCTTGTCCTTTCTTGCCAGATGTATTTTTGGCTCAGAGTGGCAGTTCTGCACGGCTCCATAATGTAGCACAGCCAGAGAGTGATGACAAGCCCCCCACATCCACCCCACTCCTCCTCCTCCTCTTCCTCACCCAACCCACTGCTCCTCCACAACTTAGACCTCAGGAGAAAGATACAGAGAAATGAAAAGATATGTTAACATGCAGATGTTTATGTAAATGATGGATGGGACGCAACTGCAATACAACAATCATTCATAGGGAAATATCACATAGAGCCTTGCATGATTATGTAATTACACATGCTGGCTGAGACCCAACAGCGTGTGTAATTACTTAATCATGCAAGACTGTGTGATACGTTTGTTGAGCTGGTGATGTGTTTCAAAGAAGAAGACAATACAGACTAATGCAAACTGATGGTACAAAACTAGAAGTGCCAGTAAATTCAATTGTACTGTAATTGTACATGGTCGCAAATATGAACCACGCTGGTTTCAGTTGCATTTGGAGATAAAAGAGGTCAATAAAGTAAAGCAAAAACAGGTTGGATTACAAATATAATGCAGGAATTTAATTCAATGAATGCATGCAACAACCGTATGTAACATTTTACAACTATTCCATTTCAAGTGAATTCAAGCTTGTAGCTCAGAATAATAATATTAATTTCTATGAAAATAACAGAAGAAAATGTGAAGGAAACCAGGATGCAGAGGGCAGCAGGGAACAGCAGCAGAAGACTGATGGTGACAATGATTTTAACGCAAAACCTGGGCATTGATGCAGAACACAAAGTCCACTCAGGACAAAAGACACAATAAATAATTCTTCAGGTTGAAATTACATAAATAATAACTTTAAACTGTGATTTATCTAAGGAGGAGGATGTTCTCCAGGAGCAAAAGTTTGGAGATCTAACAAAATGGGACCCTACTCAATGATTTAAAAGTGCTATATGGTCAACCCATTGTGCCTGTAATTCACCACAGTTTTAGTTTTAAAAAATTTGCTCCAATTCACTTGGCTCAGACACCAAGAAAGAACGTGTCACGGCAGAAGCTAAGTAGTTGAATGAAATGAGAGCAGGTAGTGTGGCTGTTAGCAGATCATTTTGTCCCAACAAAAATTCAAAACACACACTGTGCGCTTACAAGCTATAGCTGCTGTTGTCTTAGTGATGCAGCTATTCACTCCCTCCTCAAGGTATTTGTCCTACGGCAAACATATTTCATAATAAACTCTCCTTTTCTGCATTTCTGCTGAAACAAGTTTGGTTTTTTATTTAAATTAGTAACTCTGTCCTGTCCTACATACAAATTACCCATCAGACAGTGTGAAAATTAATGGAAAGCCCCTGCTGTTTTTAGAAAAGCAGTTGAGATAGAAATAATGTAAAGGCCGATTCTGATTAATATATGTTTCTTTATTATCAATATTTATGGGATCCATGGCCCTAACATTTGATATGTGCCTTATAAAAAATGACAAAGAAGAATTATATGTTGTAGTTCAACATATAATCAAAGTCAGTAAGATGAATAATTCTATAAAAAGCAAACGGAAGAGGTTTTTAAAGTGCTGTGTTTGAGTAAGACTTAAAGTAGCTGGTTCATGTCAGTTTCCTGTCTTTCCAGTAAACCCCTGCTATAATCTAATCAGATGCAAACCCCAGGCATGCGCATTCACAAACACATACTTATAGTCTGTAACATTATTAAATCTTCCACTGCTGATTAGTGGAGATCATTAGTCAGGAGACAATTCAGGCATCACAATAATCACAAGTGAGAGAGGACTGTGCAGCTGTGGGATTTCAAACAGGGTAAGAAAAATTAGCAGAGTTGAATAAGGGGAGCCCTGTTTTTTTTTTTTTTTTTTTTTTTTTTTTTTTTTTTTGGGGGGGGGGGGGGGGGGGGTTGCAAGCAACATCCCTCTCAGAGAGAATTTAGACAAAAGGAGAAAAGTGAGAAGTGAGATTCTCAAGTTGAAATCCCCATGCCAAGGCAAGAACACACAGATGAATGAGCAGACATAAACACAGACAGACAAACAAACAAATAGGCATACTGTTGGATGGCCATGACTGAGTATGTCTGTGTAAGTGTGTGTATGCGATCACAGGCGACTGTGTGTGTGTGTCAATTCAGTCGGCCCATGCCAGTGCGCTTCTCATTATTCTGATTTAGCTGTGTCTGCTGTTGGCCTGTCTACTGGAGGATAAGGCAGAAGGACTGTCTCTTTCACATTCACTCGTTTTTTATCAGGCTGGCTAGGCAGCACGCGGGGCCAGGCATAACTTCCACATTCACTAGCAATCAGCTTGCAGGATGAAAAAGGCGAATGAAAAGCTCTGAATAGAGGAAATGAGGCAAGGGGAAAAGACAGCGGAGAGAGATGGATACAAAAACAGAGCAACTGGCCAAAACAGCAGAGACAGAGGAGGCAGGAACAAGCAGAGGGGAAAACTGTATAGAAGAGCACAGAGGAAGAGAAATCTTATAATGGGGAGGAATAAACAGAAATGCAGCAGATGTATTATATGAAGAAATGGCATCTGGAAGGGCGACATTTAACCCTGACCCCTATTATGAGGTCAGAAATATGGATCTGCTGTCCAGTAGAATTATTTCAATTATCTGTGGCTCAGACTAAAGCTCTGAAAAGGGTTCTGTCTGCTGCTTCTCATTTACTGGTCCACATCACCTCCTGGAGCGTCAGTCTAATGTTTCAATGACACAAATGTGTTGCTTTTTTTGCCTTTTACACATAATGTAGTGCTGCCAGATTCTGGAAAAATTATTATTTTAGTAAATATTCAAATGAGGTTTTGTCATGAGTATTTATTGCTCTTTAATAGCTTTGTTTTTTTTCTTTAGATTTTTTAATTCTAAGGATGTGTGAAGTTCAAGTCGACAGATTTATTAATAATACATTTTAGATGCAATGATAGATAGAATGATAATGATGAATGAGAGATGGGAGTGATTTCTGTTTCGTTTTGGTGAAACCTTTTAAAGTTGGGCTACAGAACGTTGCATTGTTTGTTGGTTTATCAAGAATATATATATATATATATATATATATATATATATATATATATATATATATATATATATATATATATATATTTTTTTTTTTTTAAAAGCTAATTTTATAGTTTAAGACTTTTTGTGACTTCACTGGAACCCAGCTCTAGAAGGTCAGACAGAAGCAACAAATACTTTCTGTCCTTCACTGTCCTCTAATTGTTAATGTTCTTTTAAAGGTTTAAAAAATCCCTTTCCTCTCGGGGAAAATCAAAACTTGTTAGCTCATATCCACGTCCTAAAAAGATGAGAATCTAAATGTTCATAATGTTCTAGTAGATTCCATGTTTCCTGCAAGCTGGAAGTCATAGGAAAAGCACAGTCTGGTCAACTAAATCAATTCAATTCATTCTAATAAATACAACTATTAGAATGAATTGCTAGTTTAGGAATTATAATGTGAATGCTAACATGTGTCACAACTAAAAGGCTGTTAGGGGAAAACAGCACTTCTGACAGACATGTAGGATCTTTTAGACAGGCAGAGATATTAAAACTGTCATTAGATTATTCATTAGTATTTAAGAGCAGCCCAGTTGACACGTGTTAAAAGTAGTTCAACAAATAAAACCACTTCACTGGAAAATAAGAAAAGGCAAAGCAAGGAGGAAGAAAGGGGGAGACACATGAGAGACGCTGTTAAATTTCCATGCTGCTGCGCTGTTGTTTGGCTTTAAACATTTCAAAAAGATTTGAGGAAAAAAAGGCAATTGTTCTGGCATTCAAAAAAGAGCCAATAGGAGCCTGGAGGGATGTAATACTTCTGTTTCCACACACACACACACTAACAAACACACAAAGTAATAAACTGTACAGTCACACATGCATACTCATTTATATTCCCATTTGTGTGCACAACAGCCCCCTGCATTTGTAACCATCCAAGGGAGAACATACACGTACACACACACACGCACGCACACACACACACACACAAATCCACGGCGTCTGGAGCAGATCAATTGTTTTCCTGTGGTGGTGGGTCTCAGCTGAGGCACCTTAAGAGAACAGAGCACAGCGCATGGTGCCGTCTCCCTTTTCTCTGGTTCTTTACCTTAAGGAGATCTATCTCTTTGATGCAATCTTGCCGAGCTTTGGCATCCATCAACTCGAATATCTATCAGGAGATCAAAAGGGGAGAGAGGACAGAAGGGTGTTTTGACGTATTCAAAAACTGTAAGATTGAGAGATGCAGATAAACTGGTTAAAATATATAAATAAGTAAAAAATAAAAACAGAACATGGTTGCTGTTATCTGGAGGGCGGCACTGGAGCGACTACAGGTGTTTCACATCTGAGTAACATGTGCATATCCCTGTGTAAGGGGTTTGTCTGCATGTATGCTCCATCAGAGCAACATGGTGTCTTAGCGCTTGTATGAGTGTACAAGAAAACTACAAGGCCATGCACGAATCTAACTGCAGATTCACGTTCTACTGCATTTCTCACAAATAACTTAAGCCAGTCTACATAGAGATGGCAGTTGCACCTAATTGAGGTAGAAAAGACTAAAGAGGTTCATTAAAATGTATATTTTAGTTCAGCGACGGGTCAATTTTCTGACTTCCAAATTACCTTTGTAATGGAGGAAAACATTGAATATGTTTTTGTCCCTCTTTGAATGACGCAAAGCTCTCCAGATTTCTCATCTACAGCAACTTTTTTTTTTTTTTTTTTTAGAAAAAACAACTTCTGTAAACTGTCACTGCAGTTAAAACCTCCTCAGAGCTGTCAGCACAAGACTATGCATTCACTGAATCTTGGCAAGTTAGAGTTTCACATATTTCACTACTATTGCCAATATGAAGCCCTTCCTGTGTGGAGAAACAATTGCAGCAGGTGGATTTGTTATTTTCTACAACTCCAGAGTGCCTCATAAGGTGTTGACAGAGCAAATGAATAGTGACCTTTAAACAAAGTGAACTTTGGCTAAATATATTCTCTCTCCACCTGATGCTGTAAATCATATTTATTGCAGCTTACCTGGATTTTCTTTAAGGCCACCGACGTGTTGTCCAACAGGTACCTCGCTCGGTACACCTCGCTGAACTGACCGCGTCCGATCTTCTTCTCAATCTGGAAGTTGGCCAATGAGTTATAGCCCATATCTGGCTGCAGCGGTTTCTGTGACACAGGAAAGAACTCTCAGCTTTTAAGTGCACATGCAGATTCATGCATTACCATTACATGAACTTTCCAACCAACATGTACAGCAAATCATGGTAGATATCGTGCAAAGAACCACGTGTTGCTCTTAAAAGCGCAGCTATGCTCGCATTTCTGGAAGAAGAGAAGATGAGGGATGCGGGGTGAGGGTGAAACTGTGGTGAAACCTGGTTTCTCTGGGTTGTTTGATGAAGACGTTTACACTGGAACATGCAAACCTTTAACTGCAGCTTAATATTTAATCAGGTGATGCACAAATCAAGTGCAAAAGCAGCTTCACTCTCCAACCCTAACTTTAAACAGGCAGCAGAATTGGCAGACATGGTTTTATTCCCACATTCACATGATCCGAGTTCTCGGGTGAATTATGGGAAGGTTTATTTCCAGGCCTTCGGTAAAACCACCTGGTCGCCTATTCAGTTTACATATGACCAGATGCCATAGCTGCCATAATAGAACAGCTTTTACTTGTTACAGGCTGAATTTAACTCTAATATTTCTCTGTTATCTTTTCTGTATTCAGGACTTTGCAGTCACTCACTGGACCAGACACTGGAGTCACACCTCAGGGTTTGTTGTCAACAATCACGTGTTTCAAAGACGCGTGAAAAATAATCGTTTATTTATTAACCATTCGGTTGTAGGATGAGCTGATATGAAAATCTGAACCAATATCCAATATTAATATTGCCATTATGGCTGATGGCATATACACTTACCGATATTACATTTAAAATAAATAATGATTACACTGTAAATATTACTTCTGTGCTTTAGGTGAACACCCCTCAATCCTGCGCTGCATTGCCATTACTGTCAAATGACCAAACAAACACCAGAAGGTCAAGCCCCTCCCAAACGACACACAACTGGCAACAAGATGGAAATAAACATCAGTTGTTAATATCAGCACAGCTTTTCCTCATGGGAGTAACATCGGCCGATATTAAAGTTAATACCGATATAAGATGCATCTCTAATTCAAAGAGCAGGTTTTCATTTCTGAGGATTTCTATTCCACTAATTACATCCCCAACAGTCTCACACCAAACAACTCTTCATCTTGCTCTAACAACATGAGCTGCTGTTTAGAAAGACACTCACCTATCCCAATTAAAAAAAACACTCAGAAATAAACGAGAATAAGCCCCGAGATGAAACGTGTGAAAACCGCACTGAGTACACAGTGTGACCTTTCCAGCCTTTTGGTTAACTCGCAAAAAGGCGTCGGCAGGAGCAAACACAAGGTGACAGATATCAGAATGCCACATGTCACCACTTCTTCTGCCAGCGTGGCCGTGGGAGCAGCTTAGGGGCAACAGACTGGGGAGACGGGGAACCAGGTCAAAATGTAACCCAAACAAACAAGATGAGAGTCGTTACAATCATTTTCTGGTGTTTAGGGGTTATGACAAATTTACCATGAATTCAGATTAGGGATGCAACAATACAAACATGTAAATACAAATAGTCCAAAAGCATCAGACATAATGGTAACAAGATGAACAGAAAAAGGGGAAAAAAACAGTCACCTAAAAGTTACAAATGTTCAAAATATACAATTTAAATATATTTCAAGCCACTCGACACAGAAAATGCCTTAATTTTTGTAAAAGCAATTCTTTAAAAATTCGAATTCAACAACAGAAATTTATAAAAGCACATAGGCAACAATTAAGCAGAGTAATTAATGTTTGGCATAAAGGAAAAACTTAAAATGAATGCTTCGAATGTAATAACATTTGTCATGAAAATGGTGGATGTGAGAGAAAATGCCTCTCCAAACAGGATATCTTGTAATGTGCTGGCAGACAGTCTGGGGAGGGGCGGGGTGAGGGTGATCATTTCAGCATTTTACTGTTTTTTCTTAAGTTGACAGCCAAATCAGGAGGCGTGAACCAATCAGATGCCGTGTCCAATTAACACCGCCGAGGTGTGTGCCTTTTCCGGCACGACGCCACCATCATGCCACGCTGTGTAAGAGTCACTGACAGCCGCCATCAGACGCCGCTTCACAAGTCTCTGCTGAACTCAACGTTACGTCTACAAAACAATTCATCACCTTTACTCAACAAAAACTCAGAAAGTTTAAATTCAGATGTACAAGAGATGGAAAACAAATCCGTATAGATTCATGATATTCACAAAAAGCAGCGTTACTTGACAGGAAGTTTCAATAGTATAAAAAGGCCTTTAAACAGGACAGAAGTCCAGATTTATAGGTTCAAAGAAAGAACGGAGAAGGCAAGAACAGGAAAGAGAGGACAAGAGGGCATTGCTTTCATTCGCTGCGTGGTAGCTTGACAAATGTTAGCATGAGCCTCTAAAGCGCTGTGACAACCGCCTGCTGAGAGCACAGTCTCGCTAATGTGTCTTGGCATGCCAGCTTCGTAATCACACATTTACATATGCAATGACCTACATTTGCATGTCAGATCGCACACTGTCCAGCCTGATTAACAGTGGGCACCTCCCTGCGTGGAGTCGCCCTGGGTGGCAGCAGAGGCCATGCGAGGGCGGAAGAGAGGGCTGGAGGGAGGGCGGCTTTTCTGGCAGCCAAGGGGCCGAGCTGCCAGGCAGGATTATGTCAGCCAGCGGCCCCGACATTAGACACTTCATTAGAGCTAATCTGTTTAGCAGTGGGCAGTGTATGTAAACTTCACAGGCCATTTACGGCACCTCTTCGCCCCCTGGCCTGGCCTTCAAAGGGCAGCCAGGCCGGGCCTGAGTGACGGGCCGTCTCATCTGTCGCACAATCAGAAGCTTCGAGCTGAAAGACAAGGCCACAGCGCACACACACTCACACACTCACACTCACGCGTTTACAGACATACAAAAAGGGAAACACAGTAATGACCCTGACCGAGGCAGGGGTCAGAGTCTGGATGAATCAGTTGCAGAGGGTCACACAGAGCGTTCTTTTTAAGGATTTCAGTCTGTGTGTTTGACGTGTTGGTGGAGATAAAGGATGAATGGTCGCGTACTGGTCTAATAATACCCACCAAGCACAAATAAGGGTTTTTGAAGGCAGCAATCAAAGTTTGCAAGCTGTTTTTGCGGACATTTCTTGGTACAATTTGCTCAAAAAAAGTCATGCATGTGGAACTTAGTCATGTGAAACCAAACACATGAACTGGATATGAGAGTTTACAGTAAGAGTCGTGTTTTAGGAATCAGAAAACTGTAAAAGTAAAGTGTGCTTGTAACCGTGAGCACAAGCACAGCCTTCATAAAAAGTATGTTTTTTTACATGTTTGTGAAAACCATCACCTTGTCTTGGACGTTTCACAGATAATCTGTGGAAAAATAAATACATCAAAATCGAGCTTCTCTGCCTTCTCTCAATGCTAGCTGCAGAAATGCATCGCTCAGTCAGAAACAACCAATCAGAGCTAGAATGAGGTTCTTGCTGCTGTCCATCAAGCTTGTGTACGCGTCACTCCTTTTCTCCCCCTTGCTCTCTGCTAAACTGCAGCTTCTACCTGACAGTAGAGCTTGCCATGATAAACAGCTTTCCGGTAACGGCAAGTTTCTCAGCCATTAGCACACTGAGCAATTCATGCACGAGTGTGATTGACAGCATTAAGACATTTCTCCTGGCTAAATAATAATTTAAAAAAGCATATTTCTACTTATAACGTTACATGTTGTAGCTTAACACACGATAAGCTACAACATTTTGAAAGCAGGAACACCCAACCACACTTTTGAGGAGAATTAACAGAATTTATGTATTAAATTTAACTTAAAGTCTAAAAATTCATCAACACTAAAGAATTACTGACATTTTGGTAACAATTCACTCCTTAAAAATTTATGAGTGGCAACCAGAGATGGAAACAAAGAAAAACTCAAAACTTGAAGCACTCTTGCCTGGGACTGGAGTCACATGACCGATCCTTATCTCACGTATTCATGTGTGCAGATAAAGCAGCAGAAAGCCACAGACCACAGCCATGCCAGGGACGTGCAGTGAGCCTGTGAAAAGGTGCAGGGAAGCTTGCCAAATTTACTTTAAAAAGTTGTGCATGTTAGTGGTGGTTTCATAAAAAAACGACCACAGAGACGCCTCAGGAACTGAACACTGAATTAAACACCACTTCAAAAACACTTAGTACGTCTGTTATTACGACTTAATCTTGAATAAGCGGTTGAAAACAGGGTAGATTTGAAGTTAAGGGCTTCTTCAAGCAGGTGCAACCAAATGCATGCATCACTGCAGGAAAGCCCAAAGAAGAGAAAAGGAAGAAGAGTATTCAACAGAGGAGTTGTTGGTCTTCATTTTAACTGAATTGCATAACAAAAAGATTACTGTTCCTTTGTAGGTCGAGTGATATTACTGTATTATGTTTGATGTGATTGAACTGAGATCTATTTTCATTTCTAGTCCATTTGCATCACATCTTATATTCTGAATATTATCATTTGTAAACACGTGGATAAAAAACATTTAATTTTATTTCATTCTGTCATGCTGGAGGTGAGATTTAATCCATAAAATTCATATTTCAAAAAGCAAAATTTTGGTCATTCTCCATCAATAGGATACAAATTTTTGCAAAAATAAGAGTTTATTTGGAGGAAAAAATAATTGTTTATAATCAATGTCAATCTAAAATTAGTCCTCAACTTAATCAGAAATAATAATCGTTAGTGGTAACCCTAATACAAACCAGTGCTGTCCAGCCAAGAGGGTGGAGTGACTTTATGAAACTTGGACTGAAGGAGAAAAAAGTTGTTTTTTGAAGCTGGTGCTTAGGACAGAGCAGGACCCCAGATGTGTAGAACTACAATTTCTCTAAAACTTTTTGTTAAATCTCTGGTTTGTACCTTGAGATGTACTCAGTCTGCTCACATTGTTCTGTTTTGAGAAGGGGACAAACAGTTAGTGGCAGATCGGGCTAGGCATTGTGGGTAACGTCTGTGAGGGACAGAGTACACAAAACCGCCATGGGTAAGTCGGAGGCAGAGGAACTGATGGAGACGGGGGACAACACAGCGAGAGAGAGAGAGACGGAGAGGGAGCAGACAGACAGCTCGTTGTTGAAGTGTGATACGAGCTGCCCAATAATGACACCATCGCCAAACACAACTGACAAGACACATGGAGAGTGGAAGAGGGGATGCTCAAGACTGAAATATGGTGGGTGTGGTGGGGGACAAGCACCAGAGGGGAGAGGGTCTGATGTGACAGCCCAGCAGTGCCAGTAGCTGCCACACCAAGTCCAGCAGCAGCAGAGAGGCGCCGCCTTACATGGGCAGACGGAGAAGCAGTCGAATCAGCAAAGTTTGTTTGTGGGCTTTTTTTACTCACAATATAAATGTAACACTATAGATAAAAGGAAAAAACTCCAGCTCAAGAGACAAGATTTTTACAATATGTTTGGGAAAACTAGAAATCATTTATTTACCTTTTTATGGGTTGCAATCTACTTTTTAAAGAACCTGTGTGTGGAATTCGTTAATCTAGGTTCAACAGGTAGGAAGTCAGGCTCTCATGCTCGTCTCGATCTAAGGTTGTCCTAACACCCAACAGTGCCGTTCTGCATTTCTGACAAAGAATAAGAAAGGTTTCATAAATCTCAAACCTTGCTTTAACGAATCTCTCTGCTTGGTTGACCACTCAAGTAGTATTTATTACTTTGAACTACTACCACTACAGAAGGGGGACGCAAAAAACGCTAAAGTTGCTTTTTAGTTTGGTGCCGGCAGAAAACTACAAAGCAGATATAAACTTTAACCTCATCGACAGCTTATGGCATCACTTGTGCAGGTTGTTGTTGAGAAACATGCTGAGGGTGGGTCTAAACCTGAGGAGATGGAGGTGATCTTGTCGACCATCATTCATCGTGTGTATACTGACCACTTGGTGTGTGAATCACAGCGTTCAGCTGCATTATGACCTGGTACATTATTTTCAATGGCCTCACATTTATTTATTTTTCTACATTACTGGATCAACAGACCATGTGGGAATGAAAACTTAGTCCTTTCAGTGATGCTCCTAAGAGTTTTAAGAATTATTTCAGTTTGATAAAGGACATTATATAATATATCTCGTGCCACGACGTCTGTTCTAAAGATTATGTCAAAAAAATAACAGCAATCCTAAATTTACCCATGAGACGACATTTCCAGGGTGGTTAGAGAATTATTATAATACATTAAAGCTTGAATATCCTTTCAAGTATTTAAAAAAAAAAAGTTCCCAACCCTGGTTTACATTGAAATCAAATAATGGAGTTAAAATGCTTTTCTTGGAAACACAAATAAATGTTTATTCTTTGTTTACCACATTGCTATATTGCAAAAAAAATTAAAAATCCCACATCCTAACTATGCAGCACCAGTTTATTTTACTTGGCAGCCAAGTGTTTTGCTCACTTGTTGTTTTTTTAATATCATTACTGACTCTATAAATTGTTGGAGAAGTTTACTATGACAAAACAGGGACAGTTCATATTCACCATTTTATTAATTAATAGTTCATAATCAACCAATATTTCTGTCTGCTGGATGAGAAGCAAAAGCAAAAAGTAAGATCAAGATTTTCATATCAGGTTTGGGTAGAGGATCAGATTTTCATTCTTGGGACTGTAAAGCTGGAAAAAAAAGAAATGTGCTACAGGTTATTTTATAGAGGAAGCAAATTTGAATTTAACAGACAACGTATGGCATCACTAGATGTGTTTCAGCCTACTGTATGTTTAAACCTCCATGCTTGTGGACGATGCATTTACAAACTACAAAACAAATATTTCAAAATAGACACTGCATTCACCTTCACAGAACGTACCATCCAGCAAACTAGTTTGGATTTAATGCAAGTGACAAAGAGGGGGAGCAAAGAGGAAGAGATGTGTACAGCAACTGGCAGCAAGGGAGGGGACGGCTCCCACCCTCACCAGTCACCAGCCCCCTTGAGCGGGCACCATGCAATATTCATCCTCAGCCAGTCAGCCAGTGAGCCAGGCAGCGAAACCAGCAGGAATCACCCCAAAGGTGCTTCTCATTCTTCTCCCCTCCAATCGGCTTCCACAACCACAGCGCCTTGTCTCGGCGCTTCCTTCCAGTCAGATCTGCGCCTGTCAAACTGTGCAGTGACGGCTGAAATCTGATCTGAGGGGGCCTTCTCAGAAACCCTCCTACTCACTCAAGAGCAAATGCACCATTAAAAATGCACATCTTAGCGGCTCATCCCGTTTAACTAATGCATATGCATCATACCTCCGGGACCAAGAGAAATTATATTGCAAGCGATATAGACTATCCTTTATCACATATACAATTCAGATTTCTTCAGGAGGAGGCTGGCGGGATTTTTTTTTTTTTCCTCTCTTTTTTTTCCCCCTGGCTGCCAAGAAAACTGAACCTTAGGAAAGTGAGAAACAGATACAGGACTTGTTGAAAGGCACCCATCTGGATGCTGCTTAGACAATCATCTACATAATCTAACTTTTTCCTTTCTCTCCCCCCTCGCCATCTCCCATTAAATGTGAAATCGGTTCAAACATGCTCTGTGTGAGTGAGAAAAAAAAAAAAAAACATGATGCAACAGAGAAAGTTCACTGTGCATCTCCAACCCAGAGCATAAAAACAAGTCAGCCTAGAATTAACACTGATGTAAACTGCTAGAAATAGATTGAAAACCAGGGAGAGAAATCATTAAGCCAGAACAATAAACCATAATCAACTGCTGGGAGATCAGTAAGAAAAAAGAAATCCTCTGTTTTTGTGTTTGCGTAGGGGGAGTGTTGCCAAAGTCAAATTAATTATTAGAGCTTTTATCTGCAGTTCTTCTGTGTGCAGCCCAATTATCCTTAATTTTGCAATTAGAAATCTTAAAATAAATGAACCCCTTTGGCAATTTGAGTGTTAATGTTGCCATGCCCTTGCATACGCAGGAAAAACAACAACCAGTACTGGCCTATTTTTAGTGAGCTGCTGTGTTTTCCCAAAAAGAGCCCGCGTTTACTCTGGGGCATATGGATGAACCTCTTTGTTTAAAGTCTATTCAATACTTATGGAGGCAAAAACATCCTCCTGTAAAGAAATCAATGTGCCTGATGTTCGAGGGCGGTATTAAAACCCAACAATGACCACATCTGCACAGAGCGAGCTTGAGTTGTATCGAACAGAAGGAGGCACGCAGGAAGGCCAGACTCTGCCAACCTCCTGAGCTCTGATCAATACCAACAACTCAACATTCATCCGCCGCCGTCTGTCTCACAAGCAGGCTACAGTGGTGCGTGGCAAGATGAGACTGAAGGGTGCATCTTCACTGATCCGCAGGGAAAAAAAACGGCTTATTTAGCGTTTAAAAACTCTTCAAATGGAGGGAGAAGCACCTCGGTGTAAATAAGAAATGATAAACTGTGCAAAATAATTCTGACTCATTACAAGTGGAGAAAGCTTAAAATTAGAGACGCACCAATCAATTGTTTTTCCCTCAACAAAACCAATATCTGCATCACTTATAGGTTTGACCTCTAAAGGACAAACGTATGTTTTCTTCTTTGACTGAGGGAGAAGCTATGATTGATTTTTTTACATGTTTATTAACAATGACGCAGCCTGAAAATGTCAGGAGTTTTTAGTTTTGCCACATGTACTGACGGTCACATGACAAAGCGAAAAGCTTAGATTTCAAATTAATCAAAATATTTGGACTAATTTGAGGCGTCTTTGTTGCATGAGACAGAAAACTTACAAGTTAACCTAATCCACTGATTCGGACCAAAATAAACAAACTGCAGGTGTGAAAAACACCAAAAATAGACGACTGTAATCTCTTATGGACATACCACTTTAAAAAGCTGAACTGTCCCTTTAAGAACCCAGGTTCTTAAAGTCTGTATTTATTTTCCAAAACGGATATTTTAGTAAATATTTATTACTATTATTATTATTGTAGTTGTAGTCAACTAAACGTCTTTTAACTAGCAACTGAAATATGTCGTGTTCTTCCAGCTCAGACCTTTAAGTATCTATTCTGTTGTTTTCTATGAACTCATGATCCTGTTGAACCCCAGAACTTGTTTAATAATTCAAAACTTTGAATGTAATCCCAGGTCTCAGAGAAAGAGGACAGTGCCTCTAACTTAGGCCTAGATTTCTGAGCCACAAACATTCATATCTAACCACAAAAAATGTAGAAAATGTATGGCTTTACATGAAATGTAACAAACTTATAACAATATGCGTACAAGCTGAAAATCTTTTCCGCTTTATAATAGTGTGAATCATGTATGGCAACAATCCAGGCCAACAAATGAGCCAGCGGTGGATTAAAAATGATCTGAGAACTTGGTGTTTTCCAACTATGCAGCTTGGCTTGTGTTGGTGCGAGTCTGTGTGAAGTGTTACCTGAGGTTGAAATACTGGCACGCCTGCTTGCTGTCCTTGTGGGTGCATATCCATATCCATGGTGTTAGGAGCTTGATCCTGTACACCTCTGGAAGAAAACACAAACAGTTCCTTTTAAAAAGTCCTACAGCAATTCCAGTCAATCTCCACTGCCGATCACAGGCAGGCTAGTTAATGATTCCTGCCATGGGGTTTGGTTTCAGAGGAACTGGAGCCCACGTCACTGCCGTTGATTTGACACTCTTTGTCCCGACTCTCCTCAAGTTGCAACATGGACAAGCTGCAACAGCCAGTAAAAGCAACCTGAAGGGAGCATCGTAATGCTTCACCGCTTTCAGCCTGCTTTGAAGATATCTTCTTTGGAAATGATTTGTTTTATCAGTAACTGGTTTAAGCACATTCTGCATTTGTTGTTTGTTTTTTGTTCTGAGGAAATGCAGGTCAGAGACTTAAGAGAACTTAGGTGTATGTCATTGTTCTGTTTAAGTGCATGTTTAGGCATGTGACCGATAAGGAAGCAAGCTGCGTAAGAAAAGCGCTCATCTTGAAATAACAATTTAAAGAACTGGCAGGTTTAAAAAAAGAAAAAAACAGCATGAAAATGTTAATTTAGTTAACATCCTAGAAAATGCAACGATTACACAGAATAAAATTAACACAGATAAAAAAACACAGGATGCAGCACTTACACATCACCTGCAAATAAACACCTATGAGGTGTTGTGTGTCTATTGGTTTTCAATAGAAGCAATTAGAACCAGGAAACACACACACACACACACACACACACACACACACTCAAAACACACAGAGAAATAGGAACAGAAACATCAGTTTAAGTTATACTGCACTCTTACCACCTTGCTGATAATTAACCTGACTGATCAAATCTCTCTACAGTCCTTTGCAATATGAATATTGCACACAGTGATATTGTGATGACAATAAATTTGCAATGCATAGTTCAGCTCTATGACATTGATCAATTTCTTTGAAAATTCATATAATCTGACGTAGTTCTAAATTTCACACAGTACATTTTCTTATTCTCTGTAATTACACTGAATTACTAAAACTGTCTGTCCACAATCATATCAACCGACATCAGCTTAAGATGTTTGCTGATCTACTTAATGTAGAATAAAACACACACACACACACACACACACACGCACACACACACACACACACACACACACACCATGTTATTTTACAACTCAACTGACCTTCAAGCCTTTTGTTGTAATTTTTCTAAGCTTTGTGTTTTGATAGACTGAGACTGGCATCATTACTCTTTTCTCAAACCTCTCTCTGTTTCTGGCTGAGTGACAAAATAAGCAGTGTGAGTTTTGTATCTCACGTTAATGAGATCGATTACAGCTGCTGTGTTCTGAGGACCCTAATTTACAGTCAACAAATGGAAAAAAAAAAACCATGAAAATCAGCAACTGATTTACAAGTGAATCTGACCCAAAACAGAGCAAATTCTGCTTAAGGTGCAGCTACTGTCGAAATTCCTAAAATTCAGCTTTCCTTTTGCCAAAAAGCAATAAAAAAGAATGAGACATACATAAACTATACTTTCTAAAACATTGGTGTCAAGAGTGTAAAGTGAGTTCAGTGGTATTTCAGCAATGTGGGTAGCAAATAGTGAGAAATGATAAAGGTTTTATCGTCAATTACTCATACAAAAGGATCAACTGTGGCCTTAAAACTTTGTTAAAAATAGTTTGGTGTGCAGAAGAAATACAAACTCAGTCTGTTATAATATGTGATAAGTATGATCTGTTTCCTTTTTATTTATCACGTCAAGACTTTTTAACAGGATTAACAAAAACTTAACAAAAGACTGACAGCTATAAGCTCGTATCCATTTCTTTAGTGCATCCTTTCTTTAATAAAAAAAATGGATGAGGTTTCCGTTACACTTTTATTTTTATCTAAACAAATTCAGGTTGAGGAAGTGAGCAGAGGGAGGGAAAATGCATTTCTTTCCATGCCACCAGTGACTGTAGACTATTTTCTCACTTTACATAACCTAATGTAAGATTCAAGCTATGTTTCCTCACATTAGTCCCAAATTCAAATTAGGAAGCAAATGGCAGAGGACAAACATAAGGAAACAGAATGAGGCAAAAACTGAGAATACATATTTATCTCCTTCTAGATATATTTTAATTCATCCACCTTTTTGATGCACACTGCATTTCATTTCCCAAACTTCTCTAACTCTCAGGACGTGGCTTTGCTTAAACGTTTTCTCAAATCGTGTCCATTTTTTTATTTCATACTTCCTCATGTCCCAACAAACAAAATGTTTCAAAATGTGCACTCCATTAAAGATAATTGGCACTTTTAAAACGCTTCTCTCACGACTACAGTTGTAGACAAGTTGTAACAAGCGCCGCATCAAGGTATACCAAGGTTTTTTTACGGTTACAAAACCACAAAAGCAGCAAACTGATTGGAATTTATAGAGTAAGGCAGCGGTAATCTGACTGGGAGAGTGCAGCAACTGGTGGGGGAGGGGGAGAGCACAAACATGCCTATTTTAAAATATTTCAGACCAAGAAACACAAACAGTCATGGTGTAGAAACCAAAGAAGCAAGACCCATCATCTTACTAAAGCAATTACAAATTCTAAACCAAAACCCACTAAAACAAACTCCAGGCTCTCTCCCAACACAGACAAACTAAATAAGAAACAAATACCAGCTTGTTGGTTAATAAGGAACCAACTAATGTTTTTAAATATAAATATAAAGTCGTGCAGTTTTTGAATTTTCACAAGAAAGTGACACTAAAAGAAGCAGTGAACATTTTTTAAGACCATTTCTCTTTCCTCATTTTCCACAAACATCAAATTCATGCAGAAAAACATTTTTCCCCCCATAGGATTTTATTTATTCTAAAAGATGTGCACCAAAACAAATGGTGGTTCTTTAAAAATAAATGTCATAGAATTTATCAAAAATTATAAGTTCTTTCGAAAAGTTGTGCTACATTTGCGTCTGTAAACAAGTTTTATTTAGCTGGACTGTAAAGATTGCAGATTCACTTCTCATCCTTATTCAGTCCAAAGTAGCAACTGCACTGGACATCGCTTGAATGTAATATTTGGTAGGAAATTATATTTCAGGTGCAGTTACTTCACATCCTGCATGCTAGCAGAATATCTGGCCAGTTGACTTTTACTGCCCCTAATGCCAAAATCTGATGTATATTTCACCGGCTGAGAAACTAAATCTCATTGAAAGTGTTGAGAATGTTGCAGTGATGGAAAAAGAAAAAGAAGAAGGAAGAAAATGTGTGTTAATTATAATTAATATTGTCCCAATTACCAATATCATAATAATAAAATAAGCAGGTCAGACATTAAATGCTGTAAAAAAGATTTAGAAGTGAAACGGGGCTGGAACGATTAATCGGATTGAGGAATCAATTACTGAAATAATCATTGACTATTTGAGTAATCGTTAACTGGAGTAGGCAGTCATTTGCTGAAAGAAAAACTTATTCAGAGCAGTAATTAACACAAAAATGAACAGAATTTTCTTATTAAAAAAGGAATTGAATTATTTAATTTCATATTTTAATGTATTTAAATTAAAAAAGGCTTAAGTGGTTAAATGAAAAATCTGTAAAATGTGCTATTTCTTTTATCCGATTAATCGATTAATCATTAGAATAATTACTGCAGCCCTGGCCATTTCACTGTGTCCAAAGTTTCTCTTATTTCTACAAAAAGATTTTTCATATCGAGTGATGGAAAAATTAAATACGAGAACAAACAAAAAACAAAAAAAGAGCAGGCCACAGCAGGGATGACGAAGGACAGAGTGCAACAGATGCACAACTGAGGAAAAAATGCTGGAAGAGGGAAAAGGGTTCACTGGTAACCCTGATGAGTTTGCGGTCCTGAGAGAGAGAGCGCGGAGCTGTGCACCACAGAAGTTGGCACTGGCTTTAGCTCCGTTTTAATCCCCATTTCCTGCCTCCTGCATTATTCATTTAAAACTGGAGAACAGGAAAAAACACAAAATGAGGGTGATGATGATAAAATAGGTGGATTGAGGCTAACTGGGAGAGAGTGGGGAAGTAGCAGGGTCCTGGCATCGGGACGCTCTAAAGAGAACAGTGCTAAATCAGCTCGCAATCTGGGAGACAATATGAAGATAAACCAACTAGTCTGGCTTTGAGGAAGAGAAAGAGTGAAGGGCAAGTACGGGGGTGAACAAGAGAGAGGAAAAATGCAATGTGACACTATCTGGCCCGGGTGTAGGATGGGAAAGAATCAAAGCCACCTTTGAGGAGCCAGAAGACGACAGTGAAAGTGCTGGAAGTGTGGTGTCCATGATTACAAGAAATGGAGAAACCTTTGAGTCTGCGCTCATAAAAGCCTACCCCAGGCCTCCTCTCAAACCCTTGCCTGACGAACGCTGATGATACACAAAGAGAAAAAGAGACGGAGAGAGAGGAAGAAAGCCTCTAATGATGGAGGGGTCCGGATACTACAGAAGCGGCACACTTTTCAATTCATTTTAATCACTATTCAAAATCATTAGCCCAAATGTGCAAGCACTCGTGTTCATTGGGCAATGAGCGGAGAGAGAGACAGAGAGGGGGAGAGGACCAATTACACCTCAGCATGCAAGGCCCTTTTTGAGGTCTTTTAGTAGGATGGTCCAAGAATTGACAGAATAGAAAATGAAGACAGGATATTTTTCACTGTCTTTCAATCTATGAGGACTGGGGGGGGTGGGGGAAACAGAGAAAACAGCGAGTGATGAAAGAAGAAGTTCTGAAAAAGGCACTGAAAACCAAGTTCAACCACTCCTTTAAATCCTAAAATCTGCAAAACTTTTACAAGTATTAAAGAATCTTAAACAGTGAAAGGATCCACACAACATTAGTAAGTAATCCAAGTCCCAACTAGAAAATAGGAGATTGCTGATCAGAAATTTGTGACCTTTTTTCAATCTCCGATGCCGATTTTAGAAGATTTCTTTTGAACAGTACAATACACTCGCCCCTGTTTGTGGTTCAATATTTGAGGACTTTTTTTGCGTAGAGCATATCTAAAATATGTGAAAGAAAATACAGCTTGGAAAGTTGAGA